AACTGCCGACCTGAGAGCACTGTGCCTGGATTTCCCACGGCCCACTGAAACTTAATGCAACCACCATCTTTCATCTGTATCAGGCCTCGCTCAAGTTGCTTCCAGCTTAGGGTAGGCAGGATCAGCTCTCCTCAGGCTAAGGGTCTCTAGTACATTGTCCAAAAGACCCTATCATGATGGAATCATCAAATACTGATATATCATTTAATCAAGGGGCTGAGAGAAAGAGCAAAGAAAGACAAAGGCAGAATTCTCCCTCATTATGTTCCTGGGGATTCTCACTCCTAGGGTGCTAGGCTGGATTTCAATGAGCATGGCGGGAGTGATTCAACATGGTGGAAACCATGGTATGCCCTGTTCCAGATTTCCTGCCTGATGCTACCTGCATAGCTTCTCTCCTCTATAGATCAGGTCCTAGGAAGGATGGTCTACTCCAGTCCACAATCAAAGAGCATGTTACTTACTATAACTCCTAGAAGAACTGACAGATCAAGATGTGTTTCTCAATTTGAAAATAGAAAGCCCTTTAGTGTTGGAGTTGATAGAAAAAGGGATTGCCAATCTGAATCTAGATGCATTCTCTGGAAGTTGAAAGTATTCACTTGCATCAGGATTATCTTGGACACACCCATGTGATAAAGCCTATTTTCATCTTTGGAATAGAAGCGCCAGGCCTTCCAAGGGTTCCAGCTGTCTATTTCTTTCATCTTGATCTTAGCTGACCAGAGGAAGGTATATAAGTGACTTAATATGAGGACAAGTAAGAGGGGCCAAAAGACCTTTATTTTCTTACCAGAAGTGGCTGCAGCCTGAGATAATTCTGCTTGAATTCCCCAGTCTGATTTTTATTATAGGAATGACTAGGCATTTCATTTGCCAGACTTAGGCAAATAACAGAATTAGGATATTAGTTGTATTTGAATTTTAGATAAACAACAAAGAAATTTTCAGTAAAGCTATGTCCCAAACATTGTACTTTGCTGTATTTTATGCAGTAACCTTACCCTAACCTCATTAATGTTTTTAGCCAAGCGAACCCAGCTTGAATCCAGGAAGGCAAAAGCAGGGCCAATTCCCGGCTTCTCTTGTTGGAGCCCCATAGAGCAGGCCCAGTTAGAAGGCGGGAGGAGAGGAAGGAAGGGATGTGACTTCGAGGGTCTTTTGCAAGTCCCTGGAACACAGTTGTAGCGATAAAATATGGAGATTGTGGGACCCCATAAAATGGCCATCACACAAAAGTACAAACGTCTGGAGTGATGAAAATACAACTCCACCAGGTTAGGAGTTAGGAGGCCAGGGATCTAGGTTGCTACACCATTACCCAGCTGTGCGGCCTTAGAGGAGCAATTTATCCTCTCTGGGCCTGAGTTTCGGCAAAATGTAATCCGCACTGGGACTCTGATGTTCCTAAGTATGGCTCTGAGAACTGGAACAGCGGAGCTGAATCTGAAGGTCAGGCAGTGGGGCTGGGGGGCCCCATCTTTCACCCCACCCTTCTGCTCCCTGCTCTGCCTGAGGTCTTTGGGACTCTGGGACACAATGATGTTCTCCAGTATCCTGTCTTTGAAGGAGAGGAGTGAGTCATGTGACCAGAGAAATGCAGAGAATCACTTGGTTCAATGACTTTCTTCGTACCAGTCTTTTCTATTCATTAAGCCCCTGGCTGCTTTTTGTATTTCAGACTTTGTTTTAAGGTTTATTTTATTACAAGACTCTCTATATTCAGTTTTCTAAATTTGTGATATGAATTGTCATAAATTATAACTAGTGTGTTTTTTAATCAGAAAGCTATTAATTGATTAGGAATATAAGGCAAAACTATACTTTTAACACATTGTTAGTATTTGCTTTTAGGTTTTTTTGTTTTTTGTTTTGAAGACAGAGTGTCATTGCGCTGTTCAAGCTGGACTTGAACTCACTATGTAGCCCTGGCAGGCCTTGAACTCATGGCAATCCTCCTGCCTCAGCCTCCTGAGATCCTCTAGATTACAGGCACGTGCCACCATGCCTGGCAGAACTTGCTTTTGGAATTGCCTATAGTATTCTAAATATATAAGGTCCTTACATATATAAATAAAATATATACTCACTGACAAAAAAGTTTGAAGATGGTTTGAAATTAGGAGTTATAGCCAAATTTGAGGAGTGAGGTGCTCAAAGTGGGTGGCATGGTTTCTGATCAAACACGGGTCATGACAATAAAGAAATAATACTGGCTCTTACATGGCTCCTCAAATACACAGAAGGTAGCTCTAGAAACATTTTGAGCAGGGAAGGTGTTGGCGTAACACTCCAGGAGAGAAACTACGACAAGCTTGCATTCTATTTGTCTGTTAACCTCCGCTTCTCCCAACTTGACTGGAAGTGCACTGAGGGCAAGGGGAGAGTCTTTTCACCGGTGTCTGCACTGTACTTCTCTGGCTGCTGTGCCCCAGCAATTGCTCAATACCAGAGGCTGAGTGAATAAAAGGATCTGCAGGAAATGGTCCTTTATTAGCTCTCAGAAGCTCCTGAAAACATGCTGACCATGCGTGTACAGACAAACCACACCCTCCTCCCCATGCTCCCTGCCTTTGGCCACCATATTGGTTACCCCAGAGGGTGGGAAATAAAACATTCCAAGCCAGTTGTACCATCTATGGGAAAAATCCCACAGGCATGGGATTATCTCACGCCACAGATCTCTATTACCATTTCTCCCGCTCTTTTCTTCCCTAAATCTGGACCCCATTTGGCTTTGCCCGGTGTTTGGCTAATTATATGTCTGGCTCCAATATCAATTATTCCACTTCCTCGCTACTCAGCCCCCTCCCTCTGCCAAATCCGTGTGTGTGCTCAGCTCTTCCCTGTTCCCATAGCCTCTCCTGAACTGAGAGGAGACGGAACATGCCTCAGCAGCTACCCTGTCATGAGTCACGTCTGCAGTCCTGCCAGCAAAGGAGTGAGGAGGGTTGGGCCTAGGGTGGGGGAAGGAAAGGGATTTTCACTGGTTAGAAAATGGGCATAGGGAGGGGTGGGGGCTGTTTGGGAGCATTAAGGGCTAGTGAAACAGCTGAGGATTGAGTTAATTACCAATGCCCAGTGCTCAACATGGGCCATAGAAGGATGTTTTCTAGAAATACCTCCTCCCATTTCCATGGTACACTGTCCGTGTCGTAACACTTGCAGCTAATGTAACATGATATCAACCTGTGAGTGAAGTAGACACACAGGTATCATCACTCCCATCTTACACACGGGAATTTTATGATGTCCAAAGTGATCCCGAGTTTTATCTAAAGTCACAGAACCAGGGTAGAATCTGAAACTTCTGGCAATATCATGTACGCAGAGACACATGACGTCTCTATTATCAGCGTGATTATTCACTTGGGACTGCCGGTCCAGTAATTCTGCCTCCCTTGGTTTTAACCTAATCGAATTATCCTGTATCAGTAAGACATTTTCTCAGAGACTGTCTGGCCTTCATCCTTTGTGTCAAAACCCTTTCCCATCCCTGCCTGATCTGCCAGCTTATTGAGCTCAATCAGCTGGATTTATGTTGCAATGAGGGTGTCAGCTGACAACAATTAGAGGGGGGAAAAAAGGAAGTAAATTTGCAGCAAACTTAATTCATTCTTTCCTCTAGTTCCTAACCTGTAACACACAAGAAAGACAAAGCATCCAAAATTAGCCCTAACAAGAGCCGAAGGAATCGGGCCAAGGACAGAAGAACTCCAAACTCATAAACCACCCACTTTCTCCCCTGCCCAGAATCCCAGATCTTCAACAATCAGGAGTGAAAATTGTAAATAGGGCCAGGGATTTAGCTCAGTGGTTCCAGCGCCTGCCTCGCAAGCACAAGGTTCCGAGTTCAATCCCCAGTACCACCCCCTCCAAAAAAAAAGAAAGAAAGAAAATTGTAAATAATGTGGCTCAAAGCAAGCACTGGTGATCCTGGAGCCCCAAGAAGACCAAACCCCGGCTTCCCATGGAGAAGGAGGCTTTCTTCCTATCTGCACAACATCTCAAGGCTTCCCAAACAAGTTTCCAAGAATAATGAGGCCAATGTTGAAATCGACAAAAGTAAACAAAAGTCATAGAACTTGGGGAGCACAAGAAACGGTGTGCCACGTATCCTGGTATTCTTGATTTCAGAGTAGAAGAAAACTATGCTAGTGTGTACTATTATATTTAGAGCATCTGTCACGGAAGGGCACCTGGCCCAGAGCTAAGCTCAGTAAATGGACAGATGGGTGGAGTGAATTGAGAGCACAAGGAAGACAGAGACAAACCAAGATTAAACGGTCTAGAATAATCTCCAGCTATATTAACTACTTAAAATATGAAGAACTGTAGTAATTGGGTTTTTACGCACATTGGTTCATTTGATTCTGATGATAACAAGTAGACTTTGTTATATCTGCTTTATACCTGTGAGGGGCCTGAGGCCTGGAGTTAAAGTAACTTGCCCAAAGTCACGTGTCCCGAGAGTGGCAGAGTGAATTTGAGCCTAAATTTATCTGCCTGACAAACTCAAACAACATTCTCCAGTCCAGCACCAAGTCCCTTCTGCAGGAGTCACTGTAGTGGACATGCTGTCCTGGCCCTTGGAGGACCTTCTAGAGTCCCTCCATGGCCATCAGTACACACTGAAGAAGGAACCCCCTTCAGGATTTTCCTAGAACCCTAAAAAGTGATCCACAAATGGACTTCAAAAATTCAAACTTCTCTCAAATCCATGATTGAGTCAGACATTGGGAAATGAACTTTAAAAATGCCCTTTCTTTAGGCTTTCCCTAAAATGTTCTCACTTGAGACATTCAGAAATAGCCAATCAGCCTCAATTTGAGGCTGCACATGCAGCCCTCTATGAAATAATGGTCGGATCTGATGAGCCCACTGCACTGACCTCTGCCTGTGTTACTCTTTTTTAGCAACCAGTGCAGGCTTTCTCCACACGAACTCCAGACCATCCCCACAAACATTCCAGGTCTCTTTGGACGAAAGAAGTTTCTTACCGGATATCCCCATGAGCCATTTCCTGCCTGGAACTTGGAATAGTAGCTGCTCCGGCTGGTGGTCCCATAGTTGTTATAATTGTCCAATAAGCCATCATACATGGAACCTGGACAGCAAAGAAAGGGTTACGACAGGAGGGCCATGATCCTCACCCATACCTCCTCCTGGGGAGTCACCGCACATCCAGGTGCGTCATGCCCATGGGGAAGACAAGTCTGACCTCCTGAGGGAGGAGGGTGGAGAAGAAGTCTTCTCCGACTCTCTACCTCCTCTGCAGCCAGGGCCAAGGGAAAGGCCACCGCAGACTACAAGTGTGAGAGTCTACTGACTCCTTCCTAGGAGCCTAATGGCCGCCCGGGTCTTTGGGAAGGTTGACACCTACAAGTTAGGAGTTGTCCTGGAGGGTCTTGGAGCACTGCCACCCCCGCCCAGGGAATCATGACTCCACGTTCCACAAAGATCAGCTTCCCACTTGGGGAAGGCAGGTGGTATCTTGACATTCTAGGCGCAGAGCCCCAGGATCAGAGCACACAGCAGTACAGGCTGATTCCAGTCGGATTCCGGTAGGGATTCTGGATTCAGACTGAAGCCCAGCCCCCTGGGTAACCAGGTGATCTTCCATCCCTTTCTTCATTTTTGAGGTCCTCCAGCTGGTAAAGGGGGAGCAGTGATCAACCTCAAAGGACCCGTGAGGAGTAATTAATGTTTTCACAGTGCTTGGGGATCCCAAATGACAGGCTTCATGGGAAGAGGACAGTGTCATTAGGGTTACTAGCAGCAAAGTGGCTTTGAATCACAGAAATTAGAACTGGATTTTGGCTTCCTGGTGGGGCTATCCTCAATTCTCCCTTTCACAGATGGCGAGAGAAGTCTCCAAGGGGCAGCAGTAAATCTACAGGACACAGTCATGACTTTGCTCACCTCATTCCTTTTTTCTGAATCTGCCTTTTTCCCTTGGCTGCAACCATTGAATCCCATCCATCTTCTAAAGCTAAGGTCAAGACCCACCATCCTCCAGGAAGCACAAGACAATCCCTTTCAGCCTGGGAAAACATACTCTCCTATGTCTGCCTTCCGGTCTCTCCCTGCCTGGTGCCTTTCCTTCAGCTAAACTGGTGGCTCCATGAGGGGCAAACCACGGCTCTGTGGCCTAGATGCCAGAGCAAGGTTTGTACCACCTCTTATTAAATGTGGCCTCTGGGGATAAAGGTGAGTGGTACCAGTGAGCACCTCTTAGGAGGGATGTGCGTCTTTTCTCTAAAGTGCTAGCCAGAGTCCCCCATCAGAAACTCTGTCTAGTCTGGCATGGTGGTACACGCCTGTAAAGCCAGCTACTCAGAGGCTGAGACAGGAGGGTCTCAAATTGTGACCTGGGGAACTTAGTGAGACTCTGTCTCAAAATAAAATAAAAAGGAGCTGGGGATGTAGCTCGGTGGTAGAGCACTTGCCTATCACACACAAGGTCCTAGGCTCCTCCCCAACACAGAAAGGAGGAGGAGGAGAAGGGGCAGGAGGAGGGCAGAGGATGAAGAGAAGGAGGGGGAGGAGGAGGAGGAGGAAGAAGGGGAGAAAAGAGAAAAATAAAGAAACAAGAAAAAAGCAAAGGGGAAAGGGAAGAGAAAGGAAGGGGAGGAAAGGGCAGAGCAGGGAAGGAGAGGGGAGAGGGGGAAAGGAAGCCTGCGTAGGGAGAGCAAGCTGGATGCTGCTCTCCCCGGCTCTGTTAGCACCGCTCCTTAGGTCACATCCACCCAGAGGCGAATCTTCTTCCAGGGACTGGATTGTCTGAGCTGGGGGTAATGGCAATAGCAGAGGGGCAGCTCTGGAATGAGGCCAGTGTCTCTGCCTGAGGCCACCTCCTTCATCCAGATGACATCCAGGGCCCACGGCAGAAGGCTGATTCCTACCTCCTCTCAGGGAGCACCCAGTGGACACGAGGGTTATTGAGCTCGGCAGGCACAATGTGCCCTGGGTGGGGGAGCTGAGGGCTCTGGGTTGAAACTGGCCCTGGCCTGGCTTCTGGGCAAGCCACGTGCCCTCTCTGGGCCTCAGCTTCCCCTTCTGTAAAAAGAAGGCGTTGGCCCATTGCACCCCAAAGGCTCCACACGGCTCCAGGCCCCACGGCTGTGTGGTGACGGTGACACATGCCCGATGGCATTCAGAGCAGCCGGCTTCTCCTCCTGGGATAGGACTCAGCTTATAGGGAAGAAGAGCAGACAGCTAAGGCAAATCACCACCTCTGTGCCGCCTGCCTCAGGGTCACCCTGAAGGACTCCACATCCCTACCCCCCCAGCAGCCCACCCTCCCAGGCCTGGACCCCAGTCCCGAAGGACCTGTGCCCATGACGGGGGTCCAAGGACTGCAGTACGCCCACTGAGCTCTATCCTAGTCTAAGTTCCCTGTGAGTGTCTCCAGCTGCTCCTCACCCTCTCTGCAGAGCTGCTTTTCAGAAAGACTGGAGGCCTCTTGTGGAATCAGGAACCCAGAACTTGGGCTCACCAGGGAAGGGGCTGGAGCCAGGCACACAGTGAGGACCCTAGGAACTGGCATCCAGGCCTTGCCTGCCTCCCCTCTGTCCAGCCCACTTCTACCATCCCTTCTGATGCTTGGCAGGCCCCAGTGTGCTTGGCTTTCACCACATGAGTCGGTATTTCCTACTAAAGGGCCCGTGTGGGTCAGCCCGCTGCTTCTGGATGGCATATCTGTGGCAGGACAGACACAGAGTGCTACAGAGCCCCAGGGAGGCCTCCCACTCAGAAAGGAATCCCCTAGTAGCTCCCCAGGGCTGCACCCCTTGTGAGAAGGAATCCATGGGCATGACCTGACTCATGGCTCTCTGTCTAGGTCATCAGATAAAGCGTCTCTTCCCTCAATGCCCTTCACCTGCCCCGCTGCCTTCTCCACACTTCTCTGTGATGAGGTGGTGGGGGACTGAGCCACGGAGGCAGGGGCTGGACACACAGATGCATGGACATACGCAGGCAAGGGGTGGGATGCCCTGTAATGCCCAAAGCCAGTCCCTAGGTCCCAGCAGTGCCTCTGGTGAAGACAGGCATGGGCTATAGCTCTCATGTGGTTGGGCCTTCCAGACAGCTCTGGAAGGATCCTCCAAGCCCCGTCTTCAATCAAGGGGTGGCTGGGCTCCCTGTGAGTGTGAGGTGGCCACCAGACCCACCAGTATTGCTTCTCCACCACAAAGTGGCTGCACTTACAGGACGGGGGTAAAGGGAGGGGAGGAGCCCAGAGATGTCATACACCGGAAGCAGCAGCACCTAGCAGTGTGCCAGATAACAGAAGGTGCAGGTGGCAGGTAAGCTCTGTGTATAAGCGCCACTCCCACACAGAAGCCAGGGTGTCTGGGTGGTAAGCAACATCCTCTAAAAGTCAAGTTCCACAGCAAGAACGTGGGGCTTCTCCAGGAGCATGACGGCGGCGATAGCTCACTTCTCCTCCACCTGGTTCTCCTCACTTCTAGGAAGCCTTGCCTGATTAATGACCTCTCCATTTCCATCTCACAATGGCACTGTCTCCACTAGCATGGGCTTTGGGCATCTTCCAAGGCATGAATCATATCGCATTTTTCCTTGGTATCCTGGGCACAGGGTACTGCTCTAGCTTCAGCTTGGCTCTTTTTTTTTGGTACCAGGGATCTAACTCAGGACCTTGCACTTTCAAGGCAGGTGGCAGCACCACTGAGCTAAATCCTTGGGCCTCGGCTGGCCTTTTTATCAAGCAGCTCTTTCTTCTCCCCTTCCAATCCCTAGAAACTCAAGGTCCCCGTTTAATGCCTGATGGGGTCAAGCTCCTTGAATTCTACTTAAATAGGCATTCCTCTACCCAAGGAGTCTCTGTTGGGCAGCGTAAATCTGGAAAAGAAGAGCACAGACAGCCAAAGCCACCTCCTTGAGAAGGATTCCTGGTTCCAGGGGAGGTAAAGGGAGACAATCCAAGTACCTAGTTCACCCCACAGAAGCACCCCAACTTCCCAGCCAAGCATCTGCCTTCCCACCATTGTCTCCAGATGGTCGCATTCACCATGAGCAAAACATGGTGGCTTCCCAGCAAAGCTAGCAGCTGGCCCACCTTGTGTGTCATTCTCAGGAGACATCTGCCCACCACAGAAGCCCCAAGTCAAAGCACAGATGAACCAGAGTATCCATCACTCTCCTTAGTATACAGGCAGCATGGACTTCTCTCTCCACACAGCCTACCTCATCTTACGCCAATGTGAATTTTCAGTACGTAAAAACCACGTCAGAAAATCTACCCCTTGATGGTCATTGTCCCTATGCCCAGCTTCCCTTTGTTTTCTTAGACAATGACTAGATGATTCTCATTTGTGTCATAGTGCAGCTCAAGCTTTCTTATCTATGAAACCTTTGAAAACAGAGGCAGCTCCTTCTTTAGGACACAGGCCATGCTCTCCTGTGAGAGCAGGCAAGCCACTATAGAGATGACTCATCCTCTTCCACCACCAAGCTTTCAAATAGGTCACACCTGCTGCACCTGAAACATTCTTTTTCTTCTTCCCAGCCAATCCCTCTCCTTGCATTCAAAAATCAGCTCCTAAAGGTGACCCCACCCAGCTCTGAGCTCTTCAAACCCGCAGTGCATGTCAGCACTTGGGCCATTGCTGTACCAATTTCTAGCTGGCTTGTGTGTCCCTTGGAGCAAGGTGTTTGTATACTGGTTGTGTGTGTGTGTACACCTCTGTATTATTCTGGAAAGTAGGGCCTGTGTCTCCCCATTCAGGCTAGGAGCTCCCTAACCAAGCGATGGATCTTCTACTCCAACTGGACACCCCCATCTCAGGATCTGCTCCTGCAGACAGGAGGCTCTCAGAACACCTTCCTGCCTGACTAGCAGACAGTCCTTGGGGGAAAGAGGGCACCTGAGCGGCCATTCACCTCTCCTGCTCCCAAATCCTCTCCCTGGCTGGGCAGGGGTCACAGCAAGCTTTTCTGGAGGTTTATCTCTTGCTACTTGGTTTCCTGGTGTTTGGCTTTTTCTACACTTGAATCAAGCCTCCCTGTCCCTCGGTATGAAGAGCTTGAGGAAGACACCCATTGTTTTTCAGATTGAAGTCACCTTTGCCTCATCCCCTGAAT